CATATCTGAAGGACCCTCGATATAATGGACTTTCACTATAGCTACATATATTACAAATTATTTTTTATTGCTCAGTGTTTACTGAGTTAAATTCTATGCTAAACAGTGTCACACCTATAGGAACTTAATAAAAATTTGTAGGTGTGTGAATCAAACTTCCAGATAATGAGAGTAAACCTAACCTAACCTAATGCAACCTGACCTAACCTGACCTAACCTAACCTAACCTGACCTAATCTATCCTAACCTAACCTAACTTTAAACTTACATAACTCACACTCATTATTGACTAAAGACTAAATATTTTTGACATTAACCTTATAAATTAACACAAACTTTTTTCATCAGTTTCTCTTTAACGTGATGGCACATTTAACCTTCCTTCGCCATGATGCAAATTTCCTTAAAAAAAAAAATAATAATTATCATGAGGAAGTAAAATATAAACGGGGTAATTACAACTCTGACGGGAGGCTGTAAATCACTTGGATTATTATTTACAGTATTTGCCTTTTTTCCGCTTCTTTCTATTTTGCAACATGAAATATTAGGTTAGAGTATATTTATTTATTTCATCTTTGTCTCTCTGTCTCACACTATTCATCTCTTACAAGTTATCACGTCTGTCTCCTGTTGTAAGCATCTCGTGTCCTTTTAATAGATGATAAAGTGTATGCCTTGTATACCGAACCTTACAGTATACCCACACAGAAGAAAGAAAGACATCACTGATAAATTATTTTACGATATATTCCAAATCTCTGAGGTAATACACTGACTCATCTACCCTCATAATAATCACCTTACCTCAAGATTCAATACGCAGGTAAATCAATCAATCAATCAATCGACAAGGTAAAAAAAGAAGTTAATTGAGATCTAAGAAAATACCTGATCAAGACTCACCAGGTAAAAATTTTGGGGGCTAAAACTCAACCTGGCTGCCTGAAGACACACACACACACACACACACACACACACACACACACACACACACACACACACACACCAGATTAAACAGGGCGAGAGTTAATGCTTATATCGCTTGGTCTCTGCCGTGGGTCCGTCTGGTGCGAATTTCTCTCCCCTGAATTATCACGACTATTAATGTCTAATTCATCGTATATCAAGAACCTTTTGCCACCTACTTCCTCCCACGACCTTAGGAGACAGGTATTGAGGTTGCTTTAACTTCATATAACTTTGTGCTATATTAATCCCCCAAGTGAGGTATTTTAGTTAAGATTTATTCCAGTTTTTTCGTTTTGCTGTAAGTCTTTTGTTTATTTATTCTCTTTTATTGGGATTTATTTATTTTTCTCTCTACATACACGTGTCTACATATGTATTTCTATAGGTGACTTAAAACCTATCTCAAAATCGGGTCTAGTAACAGTAATACACGCGATAAACAGTTGAGGAATAAATCGAGTCTCTTTTGTTTTCTCTTCATTAAGTACGGTCCCTCTCACTAGTGCGTTTACAGGGGCTCGTTATATAAACATGCCATTGAATTATTGTCATTGAGATATTTGTTTTAATATTGTGATTGGCTAGAGGGGTGAACAGGTCGTCTGGTCAGTGATTGGCTGGAGGGGTAACAGGGTCGTCTAGTCAGTGATTGGCTAGATGGGTAACTGGGTCGTCTGGTCAGTGATTGGCTGAATGGGTGGGTCATCTCGTCAATGATTGGCTGGATGGGTGGATCGTCTGCTCAGTGATGTCCCCTGGGGGTAGATTTAAGATCAAACTTTTAATCCAGGTTGGGAGAATCGAAAGGTCCTTAACTCGAAGCCTGGTTACCGGTTTAGTATAATACTGGTTTATTATACTCCAAACTGTCACGGAAATACCATAATTTAGTAACGTTACTTTAATATCGATGGAAATTCCTGAGTAATTTAAGTTCAGTTTACTTAATGAGAGTTCCGACTGTGTTAATAAAATGTCCTTATTAATCGTGATGGTTTGGTAGAGTCTATCCCGTCTCTCAAATCGAAGGTAATTTGTTTAGGGATTCATGAATGGATGTAAAACCGGTTACCGCTGTACTGTATTGGTGGCCATTTAGCGTTTATAAACAGTTAGTTCTCTCTATAGTTAATAATGTGTATGTTGTGCCAGGCGGTATCCCGATTGACCACGTGTGTTTACAGTGTGTAAGTGCATCCATCAGGAGCACTTACTGGGGGACTGACGGAAGAACGAGACCCATGCTGGAAATATAGACATGGTATACCCGGGGCCCATTACCGTTCCTCTCTATAACCATCGACTCTCTTCTGATGTGTCAATAATATACTGAAGGAAATATGGTAGACTTTGGGCTCATCAACCTCCCCTTACGCCATCACCTGACAGGAAGGAAGGAGGATACTTCAGCCTAAAACCGGAAAGAGTACACGGAACACATTTTCTTCCCATAAGGCTACAGCTTAGTGCATTAACACCCCAGGTTGAATGGGAAGCCGTTAACTCAACAAGAATATCAGCAATTCTTAACCACCTTCTCGACAGTTAACCACAAAGGCGACATCTACTGGAATGAATGGAAAGTCTCGCGGGGATCCTACTGTCAACACTCTCAAGCCATAAAGTGGAACTACCAGCGTTCACATCATGTTCTATACTAGTCTAATACACCCTATACACCAGTTATATCTCAGTTAACCTACACAAACTGCCTCAACTTTTTTCATCCCCTTTCACTTTCTTCAACTAACCTAACCTAACCTAACCACTTTCTCAGCTGACGTTCTCCTCCAATACAACGATGACACAATGGTGATTTTCCTTAAGAGACCCACAGCGAGTGTGTGTGTGTTTTATTTCATAGATGACATTAGATTTTGTGTAATTATCATCATCATCATCATCACTTTAACCATCCCCACTGATAATAAACACAAATAAGGAAGATAAAAATAATTTAGGTGACATTGCAAGACACTCTAGACCACCAAGCCCTCAAGACACATACTGTAGTCATCAAGTCATGAAGGTAAAATAAAATTAAGAAACATCACATTATTAAGCAAGGTGTACAGTATAACTTCACTACAGATTGTTAATAATAGCGTATGATTTAACTTGAAAGTATACACTGAATAGAAATTAACATCAGATAAGCATATGATTTTTAACTATTGCATGAAATGATTTAGTGTACGAGCTTAAAAATCATTATTTGATGAAGCACAGAAAGGCGTAACATAAAAACAACAACATAATAATCATCACATCACACATATTGCCTGAGGCCACAAGAGATCCCGCCGCAGCAACTGTTCGTGTCGAGGCAAATACCTGAAACTCGCTGAAGAAGAAGAACAGCAAGAAGAACAGCTCGCCATTCATCACTGGACCGCCACGGGAGTCACAAAAAAAAAATAATCGAGTATTATCGCGTGTGATGGTCCGTGGTGTCCCCAATGACCTCTTAAGCTCTACACCTCACTTCCCAGCCGTCATTAGATGCCTCAACATCCCCCTCCCCCCTCCGTCAGTATCTGGGCTAAATTGAACCATACTGAGAGTTCGCTGATGAGGCCAGGACTGACCTATCTGGCTCCCTGAATGGACAATAGTTCGGGGTAACTTAGGAACTCGGAATGAATCATGTGGGGTTCCCGAAAGAGACATTAAGTGGAGCCAATCACTTGTTTCCCTCCCATGCCAGGCCGCGGTTAAAGTTCCTAAAAGGAGCAATTCGCCACCCTTCAACTTGTCCCACGTAGAGCAACAACCCAAGATCCTCCTTTCTCCTCGTAAACAACGCTAATCCCCTCCTCCTCCTCCTCCTCCCCCTTCCCTTCCCCCTCCTCCTCCTTCACCTCCCAGGAGAGAGTGATACGAGCAGAAAAACTAGAGACCAACAAGAACACGACCCAAACACCTCAACAGTGAACGATCTCTTAGTTCCGACACGACACAGAGACATCAGTATACCCCCCAAAAAAGCTTCAATCTCTCTGTGAAATATATAACGAAATTAAGGCCTCTGTTACCGTGAATGTTCTTGAGTAAACAGGTGACCGAGAGAAAAGTGAAAGGACGAACGTTAAATCAAGGTGAACGATAATGATCACCAGGTATCAAGAACGTTTCCATAAAGATACTAAACTACGACTTTGTAATAAAACTAAAGGAAAGATAACTCAGTACTATACATGCAGGAAAAATAGATCGCCAAAACTCGCATCTGCTCTCTTAAAAAAAAAATATCAAATCAAATCAAACCATAAACGATAAAAGACTAACCCAATAATCATAAAATTTAGTCCCACAGTTCAACCCGAAACCAATGAAGTCAATTTTTAAAGAATCTCACTAAAAAACATTTTCATTCCAACGCCCGAGCTATAAACACAGTAGTGAGACATACTGGAATAATTCAATTCTGTAGTTCTGCCGCTAACGTGATCACACTCTACACATAAGGACAAACACTATTCAAGGGACTACAATGTAAACAGACTCTGAAGAAGCGCTGATACTCCCTTGACTGAGCCTATACTTTAGTCTGTCAGTTGATGTATAATATTTTTCCAGAGTACAAGTAAGCTCATAATCTACCTTTATCGTGAGGAGAAGAACCAGATGGAACGGCTAATAGGAAAAGAAACACCTGTAAATGGTAATCATCGGTGCAGTACTTACAAGATCTGGAGACCAATACCTCACACATGCCAACCCCAACATTTACTGTAAGAAGAACGAGCAAACACACAAGATGAAACGATCAAACAAAGACAACGACAAAGACGACAACAACAAAGACAACAACAACAAAGACAACAACAACAAACACAACACTAGCCAGAACATGGGATATGCCGAGGCTGTGACCGCCGCCACTCCGCCATCCGTCAAGATCTTTGGGAGGTTAAGGCGGTCACTGTCTTACCATAAAATACATGCTCTGAGCAAGACTAATCCTGCTCCTGAGGTCCACCTTCAAGGCGGACCTCACAAACAGGAAAACACACCCACAAACTCACGTGAATCCTCCATGGACGTCAAGGAAATCACTGAGACCTCACGCAGGGCGGAGACTGTCTGCCAGCCGATTCCTTCTCTCTAAAAACCAAGAGAAAAAATAAATAAATAAATAACCCAATTCGGTCTAATCTTCCTCGTTAACCTTAACATTCAGTAAGATACAGTCAAGTGTTAGCAGTAAGTTAGTACAGTTACCTCTTTGTAGTGACACTACATAGGGTAACAGTTGTCTTGTCTTGCCTGTAGGAGGTGTAGCCGTGGGGGTCAACACGATCCTCCTGTTCTAGGATAATGTTCAAGGGATAATCACTATAGTGCAGCAACGTTTGTGGCAAATGATATGCTTCAGCTACATTAATTACAAATACTGTACAGTGGCTTGTGTGTCAAATGTAAGTGAGTGTCATGACCACTTTGTTCCAGCCACTGTCTACCTGATCCATCCCTTGATGAGGAGGGAGTAGAGGCGGTGATGCGACACACACCTGACAAGACCCTGATATTTGGTGACTTATCGTTAACCATCATCAGTGGAGAAGCGACAGAACAGGACAGTGAAGGAAAGCACCAAGTTTTCTAATGACTGATGATCGTGTGTGTCTCTTGTAGATGAGTGGATGAGTGCCCTTCACTGACTGATGTCAACCTCATACTCGACTATCTCTGAACAGTATGAGACGATCCTCAGGAAATATTGTACGGTGCTTGTGACACAGACATAATAAGAGGCATACATAATGTTATCTTCAACTATGGGAGAGCAGATTGGTCGTAAAAGGGTCGCTAGTATGGACGCTTCTACCTTACAAAACCTTTACTAAATTATCAACAACAGTGAAAGTAAAGGAGTTTCTTGGTTGATACCTGATAGTCAGCAAGTAATTAATGAGTCCAGGAAGTGACACATAATCATCTTTAGAGCAGCAACGTTAAGACAACCTCATTGTATACAAGCGCGCTAGTGAGGTGTGACGGGGGCCGCCCACTAGCCGCCCACCCACAACACCCATCGCCCACCCGGGAGGAGGCCAGTCTGCCGGATATGGACGCAGTGGGAGGTTTAGTGTAGTTAGTGTTTGTTTACCACGTGTAGGCAGTGCCACTGTCTACCACCACTTCGGGGCTATGACGTCAGGGTTGTGTTTATTTTGTTTTGGGAAGTAAGGGAGAGGGAGGAGGAGAGAAAGAGGAGGAGGAGGAGGTGAAGATAAATATAAAACATAAGACAAAGAAAATAGGTAGAGCCTCTAGTGTGTATATATGACGTACTGTATGTTCTTTAAATTCCCGTCATACTGGGGATAATAAACAATATATGCGATGGTTAGAGTAGCGAAGATAAACTATCGAGTTAGTATGTGGATCAATGGTAGGGCAGTGTTTCTCTTAGGTCCCTTAAAAGACTCCAAGGAAGAAGCCAAAGAAACACCAGGATTCACTTGAGATTCATTGTCCTTTATTCCTCAACCCACCACCAGCAATGTTGTGATTCAAGACATGTAGAAAATGGTGTACAACGTAAACATTCACTAGGCTACAACATTCACTCACTGGGCTACAACAATCACTTACTAGGCTACAACATTCACTCACTGGGCTACAACATTCACTTACTAGGCTACAACATTCACTCACTAGGCTACAACATTCACTCACTGGGCTACAACATTCTCACTAGGCTACAACATTCTCACTAGGCTACAACATTTACTCACTAGGCTACAACATTCACTCACTAGGCTACAACATTCTCACTAGGCTACAACATTTATTCACTAGGCTACAACATTCACTCACTAGGCTACAACATTCACTTACTAGGCTACAACATTCTCACTAGGCTACAACATTATTCACTAGGCTACAACATTTACAACATTCACTCACTAGGCTACAAACATTCACTTACTAGGCTACAACATTCACTCACACCCACTGGGCTACAACACATCACTCACTAGGCTACAACATTCACTAGGCTACAACATTCTCACTAGGCTACAACATTTATTCACTAGGCTACAACATTCACTTACTAGGCTACAACATTCACTCACTAGGCTACAACATTCACTCACTAGGCTACAACATTCACTCACTAGGCTACAACATTCACTTACTAGGCTACAACATTCACTCACTAGGCTACAACATTCACTTACTAAGCTACAACATTCACTCACTGGGCTACATTCTTTTCATTATTCATTTTATTCATCCGCAGTCAGGGGTCTCTCTCTCTCTCTCTCTCTCTCTCTCTCTCTCTCTCTCTCTCTCTCTCTCTCTCACCTACACGCAAAAGATATCAGTTTCTTTACTATGGGTGTTTATCGCCGCCCTTCTCATGTCACACTCAGGTCACACTCAAGTCACACTCAGGTTATTCTCCACTATCAAGAAGGATGGTCAACCTTTCGAGGATCTTCATACCTCGAGTGAGAGGGATGGTTAGGGGGATGGTGAGAGGGCTGGTGAGAGGGATGATGAGAGGGATAGTGAGAGGGATGATGAGAGGGATGGTGAGAGGGCTGAGAGGGATGGTGAGAGGGATGAACACTTGATAAACCCCTAACCATCGCCAGTAACATGAACCAGAGACCCGCCAGCTGCACTCAACACTCCTGATACCTGAAGGAACAAGATGATCCACTGCAGCTGTGATTCAACGCAGGAGGAGGAGGATCAAGGCTTACAAGGTTCCTTCTCCAACGACGAATTGTTTCATCCTGTGACGTCGTTTATCTCTCATAATAACACAAGATACGATTAAGCTAAGTAACCTGGAACACCCGAGGAAGTTGTTATGAAAGTTTTATAAAATATTGGCGAAGGGAAAATTCTTGGTGTTATGGCTCGTCGTATATATTTGGGACCTAACCTAACCTAACCTAATCTAAGGAGTCAGAGTTAATTTATTTTTTATCTCTTGTGCTCACCTGTTATCAACGTATTACCATAAAAAAGATTAATTAAAAGTTAACAAGTAATTACTAAAATAAGGCCACCAATTGCTTAGGAAAATAACATCCGCTGGGGCAGTTAGTTGTGGACGTAGTGACTGTTAATAGACGAGTGTTGATTTTTTTTTTAAAGATAATTGACTATTTCTTATCACCTTTTACCCTTCCAAGAACACATAAAGACTCACTACTGCGCCATCTAGTATTACATTATGAGATGACCGGAAGTTTATGAACGGCTCCAAGACGCCCTCCTGAAAGCAATCTTGGTTGGGCATCGTAGAGGAAGGGTTTAGGTTTCTTACTCTCGAAATTTAATACAAGCATATTAAAAAAAATAAAAATATCTGAAGAGCCTTTATTGCTTTTGGACGAAACTTCCGTCAAATACCAATACTTTATGATTATTGTTGTTATTATTTTACGTTCTCATCGTGATATAAAATTAAACTAGAAAACCAATATTAATCAAGCCTTTGTGGTGTCAATATAGTATATTTTTGATACTATACTTAAGGAGACTAAAGATAACAGTTTAACAATATATAATAACCTGTTTAGATCTACAATTGAACTTGACTCACAGTTATATACGTGTGTAAATCTAGACTACAATACAGAAGGTAACAATCATACCCCGACATACACAGGTAAGAGAACCAGACACTACCATTACTAAGCTTCACCTATTAACAAAATGGTCGACAGAAATGAACACACTATGCGAATCTTCCGGAGGTTACTGTCTTTTCTGTCGTTTCTTCCTCCCAGTAAAAAATGAAATAAAAAATCACAGGATATGACAGAGTGGTGAGCCAGAACACCTACCCCCCTCCAACCTGAAGGGTCTTGGTGAGGATCGATCATGAAGGAAGGCTACGAGAGGTAATCCTAATCCCAACTAAGATCAAACGCAATATTTACTCCTCATGACCCCAGACGAGGATAAAAATATTATCCCTCACAATATCCACCATAACGATAACCTCAGTTGGTAATTTTTCTTGTTAATTATCCACACTATATCCAACACAGGAGACGACTTTAGGCTATTGCTGAGATATATATATATATATATATATATATATATATATATATATATATATATATATATATATATATATATATATATATATATATATATCATTTTATCAATATCATGAAAGCTGACGATCTTCCACCATGGAAATAAAAAAAAATACTGGTGAATTGGATACAATATTTCTGAGAACTAAATTAATTAAGATAGTGGTGTGTGTGTGTGTGTGATGTTCAGCAACGAATATGAATATGCCTCGTGTGTGTGTGTGTGTGTGTGTGTGTGTGTGTGTGTTTCCTCCCTTAACAGGACTTCCCCTAAAATGAATGTATCCCATTACCGGATTTAAGTGGGGTCCGGTTATTCCCAGATGTTCCTTCGTTTCCAAATGGTCTCAGTGAAAAAAAAATAAAAATATATATTAATAATAATCCGGAGTTTCCAGGAGATGTTTTGTTGAGTTGGCCGCCTCCAGCCAGAGAATATAGTGGCGCTGCTTCACGTCGATTGCCTAGTGCTGCAGGAAGGAGCCCAAGGCATACTAAGATTGCCTCCCTCTCCTCTCCTCTCGCTGTGCTCCTCCCGCTGTGATATAAACTTTTAAATCCTGCAGTGATTGAAACCCTTGATGTTTTTTGAGTTCTCCGTGAGTGAAAAAAAAAAACTACTGTACCATGATGTAACTACCAGGGAGAGAGAGGAGTGACTGAATGAAACATAACGAAATAATGGATTAACTTGTGACTTGTTGACATATTCGGGGACTCCCTCCGTTCAAAGATTTATAACAGCCAAAGACCAATACAGCCTCTATTGGTGAATACAGTCATTCATTGTACATTGTATCACCCATTCATCTTTCAATCCACAAGATAAAATACATGAAAAAAACAGGTATAGTTTCCGATGGACGTATGGATGGAGCTACAGGAATAGATGTAATGATTGGATTATGTAAAGGAATTAAATAAGAGTCAAGAAAGAATACAAATGAGCTGATGAACCTTTGGGGGGGAAGACGGGGGGAGACTGTCTACACCAGGGGTTCTCAACCAGGGGGGAATTTCCCTGATACTAATATGGAAAAAATAAAGGATTTTCAGTATTATATGCATATTATTTGGAATGCACTTTTTGAGGCAGACAATCTTGGAAAGGAGGGGGGAATGACATTCTGACATATGGTGAAAGGGGTGCATGGGGCAAACAAGGTTGAGAACCACTGGTCTACACGAACCTGAAGGGACGCAGGTGAGCGAAAACCACGAAAACATACGTGTAAAGGAAATATGGGATACATTGGTGAAAATACAAAAAAAAAATAATAAATAAATAATAAAATAATAAAATGGAGGCGGGGAGAATAACACGAGCAATTACTAAATATGAGAGAGAGAGAGACGGGACTGCTGACCTGACTCGGGCGTGGAGGAATGAAACCCGTACAGTATATAACAAAAAAAGAGGAGGAAGATGAAATAAGCCATAAGTAGTAGTAATAATAATAATAATAATAATAATAATAATAATAATAATAATAATAGATAAAACCACAATAAAAAAAATACGAAATAGAAAACAAATAAAAAAATAGGTAAACAGATTAACAAAAACGTATATAAACTCATACACACACGAACAAAGATAAAAGACACATCAACCTAAAAACACAAGAGAGAAGAAGATTAAAAATAAAATAAAAAGAAAACAAAAAATTAAGGCAAAACAATTAAAATAAAATAACAACAGAGGAACAAGTTTCTTAAGAACACCAGTAAAGTTTTATAGTAGACTCAACACTGGGAGGACACTTGACAAAAACCTGTAGCGGCGTACTAGGTGAAATAAACATCAAGAAGAGTGAGTTTATGAGAAGGAAGAGGAGGATGTGTCGATCAAATGTAAGATAAGGAACGAGAGTAAAAATTTTAATGTTAAATTTTTCCTAATATTTCATTTTTTTTCGGGGTCAGGGGGGTATAATTTGAGATCCGAGAAACACTGTCAAGATGCCCCCAAGCTTTTCCTTCCTTGCTCCCTCCTTTTTCCCTCCTCTCTCCTTGCTTCCTTCCCTCCCTCCTGTGTTATGTAATCAACTGACCCTGATATTTCTCAACCTTTGCACCACCTGACCTACAACCCTTACCCCTACAACCCTTACCCCTACAACCCTTACCCCTACAACCCTTACCCCTACAACCCTTACCCCTACAACCTTTTCACATACATATTCATTTACATCAACTAATTAACGAATGATAGTATTTTCCCCCGATGAATTAAGTTAAGCTATCACAACTCTATTTCATCCCTTACTCAGAATATATTTTACGGAGGCCATTATATTCATTCAATTACGTCATCTTAACTTTAATTTGTAATATAAGTCGAAAAATTATTCTCTTATTTCTTCTTCTTCTTCTTCTTCATCTCTGGGTTTTCACGGAGAGATCTCACAAACCGGATGGAAGTGAGGCAAAAAAAAAAGTTACCTTACCAAATGAATATGAAGAAAATGTTCAGTTTGGGAGTTTGTTTTGGTTTCAATGTCATGTACTAAATAAAAAAAGTATATGTATTTCATTTTATCTCTTGGGAATAAACTAAAATTATACTGTAAAATGACCAATTATTTATTCTTTAATTACAACTATTTTGCTTAAGAATTAATCGCCGAAATACCATTCATTTTTTCCTCCATTCATAGTTGACGAAAAGAAAAAAATATATATATACATGTATATATATATATATATATATATATATATATATATATATATATATATATATATATATATATATATATATATATATATATATATATAATGAGTATATTTATTGTTTTGTTATACACACCGCAAATTATATTTCCCTTCTATAATTGGGTTTATTTTTTTTACCCAGGAAAAAACTTGCATGGAAATTTCAAACTATTTTTAGACCGCGAGAGAGAGAGAAGTGGTCGTTTAAACACAACATATATATATATATATATATATATATATATATATATATATATATATATATATATATATATATATATATATATATATATATATAAATCACTGTAGGTTCAGGAAACCCCTGTACTCACTGTATATATATATATATATATATATATATATATATATATATATATATATATATATATATATATATATATATATTATATATATATATATATTTCAGTGAAAGGTTAGGTTAGGTTAATTGCTGGTCACTCAATATAACTTGCTTCTCCTAGTGTGACGGTGAGGACGGTGTGACGTGAATCAAAATGGAAATAAAAAATAAGTAGAATAGGGTGGTGAATAGGTGTGGTCATAATTACAGTGATCAGTAAAGGGTGGCTGAAGCTATGACGCAAGAATGAGACAGACCTGGATGACCTCGGTAGTGTGACGCAAAGGGGAGGAGGAGGAGAGGTAAATTAGGGACAATTGAAGGAAGTAATGTCAGAGATATCTGAGAAAAATAGTATGAGAAAAAATTAAGGGCCTGTTCCGTGATAGAATTAAAGTAAGCCAGTCATTATTACACACACACACACACACACACACACACACACACACACACACACACACACACACACCAACACGAGAGGGCATAACTACATGCCACTGGCCTCCAACCCTCAGCATGGCCACCGCTAATGGGTGGCCATTAGGTAAGGTAAGGTAAGGTAAGTTAAGGTCTTGAGGGTAACGAGTCTACACTAAGTCAATGTTCAGTGAAGTCCTTGAATCTGGGTCAAAGAAAATTACACTTATAACACACCTTGTATCATTAAACACAAGTGTTCATACGATCTTAACATCTTAACACAGGTGTACCTTACTAAATAAACACCAAACATATTAAACACAGGTGTACCTTACTAAATGAACATCTAATATATTAAACACAGGTGTACCTTACTAAATGAACATCTAATATATTAAGCACAGGTGTAACGCATTAAACGGCCTTAGGGTACCACACACATAATGACTTAAATAGTTATAAAAAAACAAATTATCAAACACAAATGCAATGGGTCTTCGTGTAGGTGTAGTGTATTAAACGACTGCAACTTTCACAACCACTCTAACGCATCAAACACGAGAATACAAATTTAATTCATAAAACAAAAAATACAACATATCAACCGTGAGTAAAAGCAATTAGCGAACATGTAGGAAACAATATACAGTTGTAAAGGGCAAAAAATAAAAAATAAATAACATTGTTCCCTATGCTATATTAGGATAGAATATAGCTAATTTGACTTTTATTAGTTCAGGTTAATTAGCTACAACCAACCAAGAATACAATGAGTTAATTACACGGCTAATAACCTGTGTCTACCTTGTGTGATGAAGGGAAAGGAACTGAACACCACTTGGTTTCTGAAGACCCTCACTCGTCCTCACCTGTTGACACATAAAACACAGTATTATATAAAATTCTCATCAAACGGCAGAAGGTACAATGCAAGGCGGGGGAGAGAGAGAGAGAGAGAGAGAGAGAGAGAGAGAGAGAGAGAGAGAGAGAGAGAGAGAGAATAACATGAACGCACAGACAGACAGAAGTGGGAGGAAAGAGATGGGGAGAATGAGTTGGTAGGTATTCATTTATTTATATATATAGAAAATATTATGTTACAGTACTCATTTTTTTCTGAATTTTAATATATTCAATGTATATAAATGTGTGTGTGTGTGTGTGTGTGTGTGTGTGCGTGTGTGTGTGTGCGTGTGTGTAAGTGTGCGTGTGCGTGTGTGTGTGTATAAATCTCCTGCGAAAGCCATCTTGAAAAACAACCGGAAGTTAACAAAATCAAGTCTTCGTTTAGTTATAGAAAATAAAATAAAATAAAAAGAAAACAGTACCGGCAAAGACATACACAATAAACTAGGCTGGTCAGTGGTAAAGAACTATTGATAACGTTGTAAAGTGAATCTCAACTAACGAGGAAAACTTTGCACACAGTCTACCAAAAAAAAAAAAAAATACTTTACCTTGACATAAACTACTTAACAAACTATTACCTGGTTCTTTTATCGCAGTTATTTTAGAAAAGGAAGTGAGATATTACTTGGAGGCGAAAATCTTTAGCAAAACAACAATATTATGTGATGAAGGCGAATGTTACAATGATATATTCAAGAACTTCTGCAGGTAGTGAGCATAGAGGAAGTGGGGTAAAATATTAAGCGTGAGAGAGTGTGAGCAGCAGGGTGTGAGAAGATACTAGATAATGAGAAGTTCTAGTACCTAGGTGGAGACATCCTCAAGTGTTAGCCAATCAGTGTTACGATCACTCTCACGGGACAGCCAATCACAGCGAGGCGTGAATGTTAAACGCTCCTACTTACAGGCGTTCGTTGTCAGTGTATATTATTATTATTCATATTTTAACATGATTCAGTGTACGGCCTTGATGTTTATACAATTATTTAATGTTATTTTAAACTTTAATAACGTAAATAAATTGAGGGAAGTTTTTATTTTTTATTAACATTTCTGAGACGCTTGGGGTAATCCTCCTGTGTTTATTCAATCATCTCCTAATAGGGAAACATGTATCACGTTTAGTATTTCATTACGGTGTACAATTATCCTTTATAATCTATTAAATTCTAGTTTTCTTGTTTTTTTTACCAAATTAATATTATCATTATTTTACTTCATATATTTTTTTCACCAAAGACGTTCCAAAGCCGTGAAAAGTTGATCACATGTACAATCATTTATGTTAATGTGAAGTAATAAAAAAATTATCATTATATATGGCAAAAAGTCAGTTGCTATTTAAAACCTAACGTGTGTATGTACGTGACGCCATAAACACCCACTTTGAGCACTACAGTATTTAATCCCGGTCGTTTCGTTATAGATAAAAGGGAAGGAAGCCACCAATAACCACAGGCCCCGCTAACATTATGACCTACGGTAACCACACACACTTCCGCTGCTCGAGGCACTTATAGCGTATTTCAAAGTGAATTATATAATATTGGATTATAACTAACCTCATCCCATCATTATTTTATGTACCAATCCTCCGCTGCTACTGTAATGTGATTTTTTTGCCAGGTTCTATAATCCTAGTTTGAATGTAGTTAGGTTAGGTTAGGTTAGGTTATTTTTTATACTATATCCCTAAACTAACGTAGTGAACCGTCTCAACCACCTTCCTCCTGCAGTAGTCGACCAATTCACCAGCGATATATCAGGCAACTTAACCTAACCTATACCTCACCCAAGTCCTAACCTAAGCTAACCTAAGCAATGTAAGTTCCTCAAATAAAAACACCACACCTCTATATATATTTTTACCTCTGGTGTTTTACATAACTCTTGCTAGTAACCTTTATATCGCTTTAAAAATATTCAGAATATTTCGTCACGTAGTTTTGAGAAATTTAATTATAACTCCTTTCTTGCCTATCTCCTATAAAAAACATTTATTTTTTCATGAACTTTCAAAAAAAAATTCAATAGCGATTAAACCAACTAATCCTTTCAAGCTCTTACCCTGGATATTAATAGTTTTCATCCCGGGAAATTTCAGTAAAACTCATGACCAAAAGCTTAAGTGCGTGAATCTCCAATGAAATCCAGTTACTGTAGTGTGTATGATTGCGTTCTTAAAGGCGAGAGAGAGAGAGACAAGGTGGTAACTTGTCTCCCATGATTTTTATACAAGTATTTCTGGATGGTCTAATCTGTATGCCTTATCTGATGATGTTTGACCCAAAATGTCGATACAGATTATACTAAAATTCATTCTTAATCGTATTTACCTTTTGTATACAACGACACGGTCATATTAACTAAAGAAATACCATTATTCCCCCGTATAGTTTGTAAGTATATCAAGATAATTATTAAATGTTCTGTGTTTAACCATTTTTTTTAAACCCCAGAAAGTCATTAGCATTCAAACCTTTACAAATTCTATCCGACAGTGGTGGCTCAATGACACCCCCTTTTTTTTCCACCTCTCCAACTGATGAATAGTAATGTTCTAAACCTGTCAAAATATTCAAATTATAAGTCTAAAATATTTCTTTAATTTCTGACCCACCAAAAAATAAATAAATTCCTGGTGTATTACTAAGAAACTTGTGACTTTGAGGGGGGGGGGGGGTAAATTTAGTTGGTGTTGATTAAAGAGAAAAATAATTTGAGTAACTATTTTTGTTAACTAATACTTGCATAATATGATCGTATTGTTCCACCAGTTGTTCTCATACCAAGAATGTAGACGTTTTCATTATCTGTACTACACACACACACACACACACAGAACCTAATGTAAGGTATAATAATCTAATAAGTATCAATAATTACTAAAACAAATAATATTTTTTCTCTCTACATTATCACGTGTCTATTACGCTACCGAGAGCGAACAGAAATTATCGAAATTATACATGACTTCAAATATTACGCGATAACAATTATTATTACGATACTCTTTCTATTTCCACTATACTTTTAATTAACGTAACTCTTATTTAATTTCTTCTTAATAAAAAACTTCATTAATAGGTCACTGTAGAGTACATACCACTTTCTTAATTAATGTCTCACAGTAACACTTTCGCGATTAATATTCCACCGATGAGTCTATATTATCGAGTCACTCCACATTCCTCCCGACATCACAACACATTCCTCTGTTGATGTCGCTCGCGCTAATGTTTATCCCCTATATAGGTCTAATGCTCCAAGCCAGGTCAAAACACACAGGACAGCCCATAGCTCAATAAGGTGGTAACAGTGATGACCTTTTCTAATATAAATAATTAATACCAGTAAACATTCATTCTTATAATATAAATACCAGCAAAACATTCATTCTTACGTTCTTTTGTAAACAACATCATTGCCAGTCTCCACACTTTCATTTAGTAACATTCTACAGGTAATAATGTCCATACTGTATATTTCACCTTCATATCAGTTGTTAAAACATACCACTACATCGACTACAGTTGCTTTTATCTATTGTATTCCTGTAGAACTCGTGAGGTTTTATGATTGTAGGCGTGTATATAAATATTCAGATTTGCTCAATAGTCTACAGTCAGCTACAGAACACATACATACATTCAGACGCACTTACAAAGGCACCACTCATAAAACATTGCGTTATATTATTTACTGATTTTTGCATGTATGTATGTATGTATGTATGTATGTATGTATTTCCCCTCATGCGTATACTTGCCAAAGGAGTGAAAGAGCTTGTAGGTAATAAATGCATTCATGCTTATCCTAGTGTATATATTGACAAATTGTGTGATGTGTAACTATGTGTACGAGTGATAACTGTATGCGAACGTGTCGGAATTTGTGTTTGTGTATGTGTGTCAGGGTTGTATGTCCGTATGATTGTCCGTGTGTGAGTGAATATATACACCAACAATACAGTTCAGGCAAGTGTTACAGTCGAGCTGATAATTTGAATGTATGCGTGTGTGACGATATGCGTTGGCCAAGAGGTTAAGGCACAATTGTGACATAACAATGATCTCAGTATATAGTTGTGATTTTTTTTTGTGTGTGTGTGTAATATTCGAGAATTTTTACATGGTACAAACTGTAACTGTATATTGTGAGTAGTAGTTCAACCTAACCTACCCTAACCTAACCCAACCAAACTTAAACTAACCTAACCAAACCAAAGTAACTCAACGTAAAGTAACCAAATCTAACATTACCAAATCTAAATCAACTTAACCTAGTCAAACCTAACCTAAGCCAACCTAACCTAAGCAAACCTAACCTAACCTAACCCAACCCTACCTAACCTAAAGCAACTTAATCCAACCTACCCGAAGACCACTGTATAACCAAAGTGTGTACAGTATATCCAAGGACTATAATATAACCAAAATATACTATAACATATTAGGTAAGCCTCGATAAGTCGGAAGCGAGTTATCAAAAGAGTGAGAATTACACCAATGGATTTGTATTGAATTATGATTAAACCTTATGATGTTAATATGGATATGAAAATGGCACCAGCTGGCCGAGTTATCAAAATAAATTAATTACATAATTTAACTTTTTTTAAACGAATAACTGTACAAATTGTGTTAATATGTTAATATGTAACATAATTGAAAAGGTGTTGAAGGTGACCCAGGTGTTGATGAGGCACTAGTCTAGGATGGACAGGTAGATTAATCCTTCTAACACGTAAGTAAATAAATTGAGAGTCAAGGATGAAACAAGGAAATTAATATATACGAGAGAGAGAGAGAGAGAGAGAGAGAGAGAGAGAGAGAGAGAGAGAGAGAGAGAGAGAGAGAGAGAGAGAGAGAGAGAGAGAGAGAGAGAGAGGGGAGAGGGGGAGGGGAGAGGGAGAGGGGGAGAGAGAGAGAGAGAGAGAGAGAGAGAGAGAGAGAGAGAG